CCACATCAAGACCTCCACCAATCACGAGTAGAGCCGTCTCCGCCCACATTAAGACCTCCGCCAATCACGATTTGGGCCATCTCCGCCCACATCAACACCTCTGCCAATCACGATTTGGGCCATCTCCGCCTACATCAAGACCTCCACCAATCACGAGTTGAGCCGTCTCCGCCCACATTAAGATCTCCGCCAATCACGATTTGGGCCGTCTCTGCCCACAAAACAACGTGTACTGCAGAGACCCCTCCTTGTTTAGTTTTGACTCCATTTGGACTAACTGTTAAGCGTCAGAATAGTAAAACCCTGACCTCTCCATAGAACCCCACTTTAAAATGGTTCAGATGTTTTCTGCGGGTCTTGTGAACGTAACAGCAGGAAGCTTGTGGTTTTAATGACGTCTCGTTGCCTGTCTGTCCAGATGCGAGCGCACGTCAACTCCAAATGGTTCCTCTTCAGGAAGCGTGTGGATAACCTCCTTCACTTCCTCATGCCCAAGACCATCATTCCACTTTACACCATGGTGAGGAAACAGGAAACAGGAAGATGCCGTCCACGTGTCTCCTGGTCCACTCAGTTCCTTTAATGTTCTGTCTCCAGGTCACCTTCACCAGGACCAGGTACCATGAAGCTGTGCAGCGCTGGCACTGGCAGCAGAAGGTCAGCTTTAATCTTCTTTATATTTTCACAACACGGTTAACATGAGGACTGTAATTACTGTTAGTGAACTTAAAGAGTAGAAAAAAATAACCTGATGAAGCTGATTCTACATGAAAAACATTCAACCTTTAACAGGAAATAGAGATCTGACAGGTGGAGGTCCTGGTCTGTGTTTGGAGTGATGCACACCGAATGAAGAAACTAAATGTAGAAAATAAACCTCTAAAGGTTTTTATAAGATTTTCTCACAAAGTCCAGCTCATTCTTGGTGCAGGTCGGACTCCACCAGGACCGTCCCTGGTCTCTGATCTTATTTGTGGTCTTCATGGAGGATCTTAAAGGGCCTGTGACATGCTTATCCTTCAAATACAAAAAGCCAAACAAAACACTTATATTTAAGAAAATTAGCATAATACACAATTTTAGCCATTTTGTCTCATAACTGGCATATTTTTGCTTGAATTTGGCTCAGCCAAAGTGAAACAGGAAGTGACATCAAAGAGGAACTCTAAGAACAGAAACTCTCTAGACTTTGTTTATTGAAACAATCGTATTTAAACTCATCTGATAGCGACTCAAAATAATCTAAACATCAGATTCTTCTCTAATTATTGTAGCATCGCTCTGTTTACATGYAGACATTCCCCTTTGACATCACTTCCTGTTTCTTCACATGCAAATATCTCAACGATTGTTCATCTCAACGGCGTGAAATTTGTTTTGCAATATGTTATCAATGTTCTCTTTCCAAAAACACATTCACATTTATTACAAAAAACTCATGTCACAGGCACTTTAAGGCTTGGAAAACCTCAGGGTCTCGTCTTTGAAATGGGTGGAGTGACCCCCTTGGATCAGTCCGTCTCAGGTGTCCAGAGTCAGCTGAGGTGGTCCATCTGATCAGGTTTTCTCACTGCGCAGATCCAGAACTCTCTGGAGGGATTACCCTATAAATCCTCTCTGGTCTAGGAACACCCCTGATCCAGGAGCTGGTCTGGGTCTCTCTCCTGGACCTGCTGCCCTAAAATAAAGCTGTCAGTCTCCACAGAGTGAACAACAAACCTGAATCCAGTCTAATCAGTTTCRTTTTTGCTCCTGCAGGTGATAAACCTGGGCCTGCTGCTCGGTGCTGTAGGAGCAGCTGCCGGAGGCTCCTACCTGCTCGTTAAAAATCCTCCAAACATCAACAGGATCCTCGTTCACGCTGAGCATATACGGAGCAAGCTGGTGTCTCTGAAGACCTCCTGAGTCCTGCTCCAGATCTGATGAATCCTTCTCGTCTTAGTAGATTTTAATTAAACTGTCTAAGAAATAAATCTTTAATTCAGAATGACTCAGCAAAAAGCAGAGGTTTTGATTATATTCAATCAGTGATAAAAGCTTCTGGTTTGATGCCGACAGATTCTATTTATCTGAGAGTTGACGCCTGTAAGACACCTGGACTTCTCCGTCAATCTGAAGATTTTTCATTAAAGGGACCTTAAATCAAGAAGTACCAGCTGTTATGTTTGTGTTCTTTATGTACGGGATCAATCTTGTGCCAGCAGGAAGTGAATTTGAATTGCTCAGATTGAATCTGAATGTGCAGAATTTGAAATTAAATGCATTGATTTGAAAATAAATTTCACTAAATTGAAACTGAATTTAATGATTTGCAACCAATATGTGATCCATCAGGGATCACATATYGATCAGATGCTGCTGCTGACTGATCCATGATGTGATGTAAATTAGTGCTGGGCGGTATACCGTTTTGTACCGAATACCGGTCTTTATTTTCGCTATGATATGAATTTTCTGAATACCGACATACCGGTTTAAATAGTCTGAACACGTGTGGAACGTTTCGTCGCGGCCGCCAGTGAACTGTTTTCCAGGGGACACTTTTCCTCGCAGCACAGCTATGTGCATTAGCATGCTAATGTTTTTGTTGGAGCAGCTTGTTGAGGCGGCGGGTGGCGATTCCGCTGCTTATATTGACTGACGTTTAAAAAAACATCCCATTTTCGCC